AAGCTAGATACATCCAAAGAAAGCCGTGCCACTCGGGAGAAGTACAAAGTGCGAGCCAAGATTACATACAGCTCAAGTGGCTCAAACCCATTCGCCCCGCCGACATCCTTTTCCATAACACATCCAGAACCCCCAATAGAGGCAAGGTAGCGCCTGCTGCATACATTTACCTATGGTTGCCTTTGCCTGCACCATGCCGGGCTGATAGACGAGCCAAACAAATCCATCTCTCAAAAGTCTGTTGCTACATTCTCGTCGCACGCAATGCGACCCCAACATCTCCCAGAGCGTACTGTTGTCGTGTGGTTCTCTTTGGTTTGGCCCAGCTTCCATACCACGTGCCATCACCAAGTGATGGCATGCCCCTGTTTTCTTTGCCATCTCAGCAGCCTATACTCCCGCTTCTGCTACTGGTTACGCTTTTCAGCCCAGCCTGCACAGCACGACACAGAGGTAACATTAACGTGAAACTTTACAAATCTTAAACCAAACAACTTCTGCTGCATAGGAATTCGTTTTGTGCTGCTTTACTCGTCACTCTACTTTACCCCTAGGCTTAAGCCTAGGTCGCAAGTCCCTTGCTTCTCGCCACTTGTACCTCATAGCCCTACACATTTCACTACGCAGAAACACACAAGGCAGGATGAACGAAAGGACTCTATCCGAAACTACACATCCGTAAACCAAGCAGGCCACACGCCAATGTGCAACGAGGTTGAGAGAGGTACTGACAACCGGAGACAAAACTAAGCATGAGTTGTAAACTGGAAGAGGCAAACGAGGGGCGGACATAAGCTGCACGCCAACAGCCTCATGTCTATCGAAGGAGTTTAACCATGACTGGGTCGCTTTCGTCAACATCAAAGTGGCAAAAAACGCTGCTAGCCAATGCAATGAGCGATTCGAAATAAGATTGGCGTCAGAGAGTACGTTCAATGAAAAGCCTACACACTGCGTTTGGTTATTGGTCTACGACGGTGACGAGTGGCGAGATCACCCAAGGAGAAGAATGCACGCGCGCGACAGCTATTCAAGTATTATGCATATAGACATGAAAGGACATGCTAGAAAGAAAACCATGAGATGAAAGTAGAAGAAGGACCTCACCCCCGCAGAAGAATGGCGCAGTCAACGACGCCACGGGACATCGAAAGCAACTAAGAAAGCGTATCTATGAAAAGAGAGAACGCCTATCGCACTACTCAAACGGCTATACAAACGCACGAAAAAACGTTGCACACGTCTCAAGTAGTACCTATAATTACGTCTTGAGTTGAATAAACTTGATAAATAAAAAAAAAATGTTTTAAATATATATGTATATATATATAACATGCTTGTTATGCGGCGTCTGTTTATTGACTTCTTCTGCAGATGCGAAACTGGTCATGGAGGGAGTTCGCGAGGATCGACCCAGCACAAAGCTCATAAGAATGCCTTTTGAATCGAAGAGATTACATACAAATCAATTGGACAGATCGTAGTTTTCTTAGTCACCGGCACAATATCCGGTCTTTTTCGCCAGCAACATAAAAGTGTTACAGAGGGAAATTATTCATGCGTGCTTGCACATAACACTGTATAAAATGCAAAGGAAGATGGGTTTCTGAGAAATACCAACGAATCTCATCCAACGAGGCCCTTGTCAATTTCCTAACACTACTAACTATAGCAAACGCACGCAAATGCGGTGATCCCATAATATCTCGCTTATTCACAGCATGCAAAGGGCAAGAAGTCGGTAGCACTGAATAATGTACACTGCGCCTCTTCATGCAGAACCAAACACCATGAGACCGAAATGAGAGGGTATTGTATATATTATATGGGGCATTGGTGTTACCTATCGTTTGTCTGCGTTTCGGCAGTGCCTCGGCGACTAGAGGTCAACACCCCCAACCCCTGACTACCTAACACAGCATACATCGATGGCGAAGAACAAGCAAAATAGCGCATCTCCCTTGCAGAGTTAGTTACTGGGGCTACTATTTAGCAGCATTTCGACAATGAAGAGCTAGCACAAATATTTAGTGTCAGCGTATTGAATCCGTATACCGCCAAAGATATCTGGAAAAGATCCATAAGATATACCTAAGCTTAAGAAGCATCAGGTACTTAGAGAACAAGCATGAGACAAAATGTCTTGACATTTTGGCTTATTCACAGCCCACTCTCGCTGCGCGGCATCGTGGATCGGAGAATGGTAGAACTACTTCACGGGCGCACAGAACTGCCTCGGGCAACCGAATGAGTCACACGAGAAAGAGCTCCACCACCCCACCTTACTTATACCCAAGCTTCTACCGTATACTGAAGGCTTGTTCATTTCTTCGTAAAGACGCGACCTTACTTGGCCCCGCATCTATACGGCAGCACATAGAATAGCCGAGTGACGCTATGAGGCGTGGAAAGCACATAGTAACAGCAGCAGCAGCAGCAGCATAATATGCTTCACAATTGATATCCATACTCGTGGCTTCATACATAGGCTCTTGGGACTCTACTATATTACTAGTACTAATGCTGCTGGCACTGGGCCATGACTTCACCAGCAGGCAGCCTACCAAATTTCCAAAGGTACACGGATACTCCGCTATTTGATGCTAGCAAAGGAACAGAGAATCCTCATATTTTATCACGCACTGCCCTTCAAGTCACGGAGGCACCGGGTTGGTGCCTCCGCTTGGATGATGTCAGTGGCATTATCTTTGAGAAAGCGGCCGGCTGAACGGATCAAAGGCCAAGCGCGTGCAAGGCAAATCATTCAAGCATAGAGAGACCTAGCGTCGAAATGCGAATGTCTGCAGAGGGCGAACAGTGCAGTGGGGCATTAAGAGGTTAGAGCAGATGGCCGCGTACATCTCGCGCCCAGACGAAGGAATCTTCTTGCAAGGAAACATATGCTTGCGTAGTATAATTTGGTCTCGTCTGTGTAGAGGCCGAGAGACTTGACTTGTGACGTGAGGTCATCATTCTTCACAAGAAACTAACAAAACAGATGTTTAACAAAAGAGTCTATTGGGCACAACTAAGTTGTGTACGTTCTCCTTTTTTTTTTGTTTATTTATCTGTTTAGACAGTGCGGTTTCGGCTACTTTTCCCGCCATGAAGTCTCATCTTTACTTATTATCTACTATATTGTCACAAAAAGGAGCAACAAAGAAAGCAAAAACATTCTAAAAGTTGAAACTAGCCGTCTATCAAGATTGGACTTATCAAGTGAACAGATTAAACAGGCACAGGTTAAATAATTGACGTTAGCCAGTTTACCGAGGAAGTGCAACGCTGAAATCGATCTTTTTGTGTACACATACAAGCAGTAGCGAATATTCCTTTATTTTTTAACTATCTAGCGGCCAACAGCATATATTGCTCCCAAATGACTTGTGTCATTTTGTTACTCAGGACGCGTTTCAAGTATATCAAAACCCCGAGCTCTTTTCCATTTCAAGATTATGGCGCACCGAGCTAGTCCGTCTGCTTTACAAACGCAGGACATTTGCTTTATCCTGCATACATTTTCCACATTGATTCGTTGCCGATATTGTTAGACGCTATCGACCTCAAATCCGTTAGCGTATCACTGTCCACCGGCATCTACAAAGTAGTACAAATGAACTTACGCCGCTGATCCATTCCCGTTTCATCCCTTAAGACAGCCAATCATCGGTTCTCACCCTATTCTTCGTCCACTGAACTTCATTTCTAAACAGCAATAACGTATATTACAAGGCGAGTACAAAGGATCCTTAGCCACCTTTATTTCGCACCCCTCCTCAGCCCCGTCTGCTTTAAATAGAAGGGGACTCCATCCTCGTCGAAGCGTTAACGCACGTTAGTTCAAGATGAACCTAGCATGTTGAGCTTACTCACAACCAATGAATAACGACCATGAACGGTAACATCAGGCCGACACGGCATCGTGTGCATGTATGTGTGTACGCTGGATAAAAATTTAATGGTTTGTCCCAGCTCGTTTAACGACCAGCGGCTCTGTTCCTTCTTCATCGAGAAGCCTACAACGCAAAAGCTGTACGGCCACTATATAGAGAGTGTAGCAACCAAAGCTTCATCTGCTTGCCAAAGAAGCATGGCGCTGAAGTCGCCCGAGTCAGTCAGCGGAAGACCCAGCGCGCATTTACGGAAAGCTCCAGCGATTTGTCCACAGGCAGAAAAGCTGTCTAAAATACGATAATCAGAACGGAAAGAAGTAGGATAATCGTAAGAAGCAAGTGCCAGGGAGATGGCGAATTTGTATACGATATACGAGCAACAAGTGACGAAAAACGGCCAAATCGAAAATAGTAGTCAGGAGTTGAGATTCAGCAGAAGTAGGACCATTAGGGGTTCCGCAGGGATTGACGACAGTAAGGACCAAATATAGAGAAATGGCAAAGAACAAAGGAAAGTTTAGGAAAGAACACAGAGAACTGTATCAAGAATATCACCCAGGGCCCAGTGCGTCGAAGAGACAGTCCGCGTTGTAACGAGATAGAAAAAAAACTTGTTTTTCTTACAGATTGAAAAGGGACCAGTGATCTGGTTGGCTGGCTTGTTAGATAAGGAGCACTTAAGAAGTACCTGCTACGACAAAAACAGGATAGATCGAATCACTAATATATAGCAATATACTGAAAGTGACTAAAACAGCATCATTCAGCAGTGAACCCTTTGATGATAATATTTACAGTTGAATTTCAAGAGTCTGTGCTGCAAGGTTGAAGATTCTCGAAGACCTTCAAATACGCGTATAGTGACATGCCACTACAAAGCTGAACAGTCGCGATAATATAGAAGGGCAAAAAGATTAAAGACAATATTCTTACATTTAAGGGTTAGGGTGGCTTTTTTTTTACCAAAAAGTGTGGCCCCCAGTGGATAGCGCCGTGCACACTGAGGAAGCATATTGACGCACTCGACGGTTATACATCTTTCAATCGTTTCAAGCTTGATTAGGGGCCCAACGGTAAAAAGTTCATACGATGACTATTAGCGCTTACCTTTTTTTCGGTCATTACATAGACAAATTTGTGGTCTCTGTCGAAAAGCATGTCAGGTTGTACTGCTTTGCCTACGTCCAGTGGGATATCGGCGTACTCGAACGCAGCTGTCACAGACTCTACGACCGCCTGAAAATGCAGATAAAACATACTTACTATATTAATGGAAGTGCGCATCCTCGTCAACTGAATTCATCGTATAACATTTCGTATTTTAGCGTTATTTTGTCTACTTATTCATCAATAGAGTAAGTTACCTGTGTACGCGTCTCCGCCATTTATACGCTTAATTTTTCCGCATGAAAGGAAAGGACTGAAGGAAAAAAACTTGTATCAAACGAATGCGAAATTCAAGCTAAACATCAATCGAATCCTTTGATCAACCAAATAATAGTAAAGGTGAATATATTTTATTTCTAATTTTTTTTATCTCTAACGGTGGTGAAAAAATGGGCGTTGATTCCCTCGATGCACGATGTCGTAGACAATTTACACGTTTCAACACAATCCGATTCTGGTATCAACTGTTGTTTGTACCAGCCCTATGTTTTTCCGATGTGCCAAGCTCCTGATACTGCTTCGATATTAGTAAGCTCTTCTGTTATCGTAGAACGTTCTCATCAGTTCAGCATCACCGATGTGGATGGATAAGAAACAGCGATTGCAATCGCTAGACCCCCGCATTGCACACGCGTTTCCGGTACTGCAGTATTCAGCGCGAACAAGGCCAAGACAGACGATAGTCGTAAACATAAGTTGTCCCGGGAGCACCGACACTTTTCGTTTCTGTTCCAGCCATCCACTTCCTATCCGTATACTATGAATGGCCTTACTTTTGCTAAGCGTCTCGCTTTTCCGTAGATACCAATCACACTACCCTGTACAACTAGCATGCATGTTAACCTCTTCCGATCGTTCGCCTACGCAGAGGTCTTGTTTGTAAACAAAGCTCGAACGAATGTCTTCGGCAGGAAAAGACGAGTGCTGCAATGAGATCTGTAAAAGCTTCGACTCAATGGCTACCACCGTACCACCACAGACGCAGGCCATTCTTACCATTCGGCTGGAAGATACTATCGCATGTATTTATACTACCACTAGCGTACCACAGATCAGGGCTATGACCCTTGCAGACACCAGTCAAGTTCTCTAGCACCAAGTAGCTTAACAACTCGAAATCTATAACATAAGGCAAATAGTTACAACCTTTAGCACAACTACGAGAACAACATTAACGACAACAAGAACTTGACAGTGTGAAGACTGTTTACGGCAGAAGCAAACGTTATTCCGCCGTAATTATAATAATAATACCAATGCTAATAAGAGCAGCGAACGGTAACAACGACCTATAGTGGTTTCAGTTACGGTGGCGCTATGGTGGTGCTATAACGTTGGTAAATATTCAGCAAGTTCCTTAACGCACTACGCTGTTCGCGCGAGTTTCGCCCGTACCAACCTTCGTCAACCTAACGTCGACAGAGGTCCGATCTATGTGCTAGTCCTAGGGTCCGACACTTTTTCAGCACAGAGAAGGTCGCAAATCGCAGGGAGCATAACCCCAACTCAGCAACAGTATTAGTAGCTGTAACAACAACAACCACGTGTAATATGGCGATATACGCTGCGCAGGTCGGCTTCGAATGTGGGAGCTTTGCTTACAATTGGCCTGAAGTACCCCCACAACGATGCTCGTTTGTTGGTAAAAGGCAATAGCCACTGTGCCATTCTAGTTATAGAAAGTCGTCTGCACAGAACAGACTGTGTGTTTACTGTGGCTGTTGTTGTTGCCATCGTCGTCGTTGCTTTTGTTGCTGTTCAAATGCCGACCACATATGGGGTATAGCACTGTAGAGGTGCTTAACGCTGTAGCTCGTAAATGGATACAGCCCGGTAAGTTCAGCGAAAGCTGGCTTCCAACTCGTTTTCCACCTGATAGTCGCCATGTACTTGAATGTGACTAAAAGTGTAGATGGGTCTGGTAGTGCAAGTAACTGCTCGTCCTATGGGTTCGTATATGAAAGTACTAAAAGTTTGTTTCCACCTACTTTATGTCCATTCGCGCAGGAGGCTTTTTGCCATGGTCTTATTCTGCTGCCCCTTCATTGGCTAACTCATCCTTCCTGCTTTAACAAGATGTTGCTGGCCTGTTCGTTACCTTACCAATAATGCGGTACTGGCCGCGAGGCTCGGCAATAATGCGCGCACTACCAACGATGCGAGTCCACCGCAATTATACAAAGTACGACCTTCATCCACCTGAATGCGCATGCCTCGTCGTTATATGAGGCCGGCAGACACCCCAGTTACTCGATGGTGCAGGGAACTAAGATAGCAATAAGCAACAATGGTAAAATACGCGTCCATTGTAGACCCAGTGGCTGTTCTAAGAAGCAGCTTCTGTTTTCGCACGCTATGTCCGTACTGCGGTATAGCAGTCTGTAAAGTGTCGCTGAAGAACGGAATAAAACAGTTCAGGCCCAACAGAGCATTCTGCTCGAGGGGTCGCTAGGGCCTTCGGCAACCAACAAGATCACCGTTAGCATCTATAGTATTGCGCAGCAGTACACGCTCGAATGTTCACAGTAAGAGTGAAATTATTTTTCACACAATAATACCATCACGAGCGCAGGCAAGCGAATAAGAAGGTTCTAGCTGGACGAACAGTAGCTACTGTATACTTTTGCCTACTTGTTTTTATAGAGTACCTGCTTACCAAAACCTTAGAACAAAATAGCCACCGGCCACACGAGTAAGAAAGCGTTCAGCCTCTGCCTACTATGGCCGAAGCAGAAGCAGACTCCCATGCTTATCACCAACACGAGGTGTGTCCTAGTACGGCCAGTGGCAAGGAAACAGGGCCGTCCTATAAACGTAGACTGAAAACGAGTTGTTGCACTGGTCGAGTTCAATGGGCCTCATCTCGCAGCTACCACCCTCCGCCTTCCCGCCCGCGAAGCAAATTGGAAAGAGGGGAGCGTAATAGGCCTATCCCGAACCAGATACAGACTACTTTTCTAGTAGCAAAGAGAAAAGGCCATTTTAGGCCAAGATAAGGGTTGGTTGCGGAGAGTCTACATCTTTAGTAGAGCGGTCCACTCGAGCAGCTACTGACAAGTGGGTCAAAAGCAGACAAAGAAAATTGGTGCGAACCACGCATCAAGTAGCGCTGCTTCAGTAGAGATGTGCAGCTCAAAAATGGCGGGAACAAACGCAACTGGGTAGGACAATTGCGGTTGAAATGTTCAGAACATGCGGTACGTAGATTGCTACAGCAGATAAGATAGCGGTTGCTGAAACGGGAGACGAAACTAGATGCAATGTTCTACTGCAGGTAGCTATCGGTAATGAGATGAAGCAAAAAATTTGGGTTCGTCTGACTAATATTAGATTGCCCCGTTCTTGCTTGTTGCAGGCTATATTTCTAGCGTCTTCCTATATTCTTTCAACATGTATAATCGTAACAATTGGATTTTCAAGCATAATTTTCAGGCTTCTCTCGAAAAGCATTTGTATGTCTTTTGTTCGAAATGTCGCGAAATGGTGAGAAAGACGCATTTGTTGTTCAGGACTACATGCAGAAGCTGAAGAAATTTGACTCTATGACCAAAATGTCGGTCTTGTTAAAAACCAGCTTGACCACTGATAAACTTGTTCTTACGTTACTACTACTATATTACTACATACAAAAATTCACTTCTACCTACCACATTGTCTGGATTGTAAGCAGATCGGCAACAAAAACACCCAGACCAAAGCAAAAAAAAAAAGAAACGAAGAGAGTCCTCCCTCTTTACTGTTTTTGTTTCTGCTGGAACGCAGCCATGCTGTACGGCGCTCAACATAAGACGTACGCGGCATGAGTACGAAGGCAGGGATAGACCTAAAAATGGGCTGGAAACGATGTCAGTGGCGCGACATGTAGCGAGCGTCTGCTAAAATTGCTACCGCGAGCAGACAGCGTTCGTCAGCTGTGCCGGCGTCCACAGCGTCACGTACATCGACTGGGCAGTTTTACGTGTTTGAAGCAAGCGGCACTAGAACTTGAGCGACTTAGCAAGAGTTTTATTCATAGCTAGGATACTAACTCTTTGCTAGATTTGACTTGGACGGCAACTTGCATTGCATCTTCTTAATCTGCTTTCTGTTTGATCTTCAATGGATTGCTCTGCCAGTTCTGTGATTCAAGCTAAGATCACTCCTATCGTCACGGGACGCTTATCTATGGTTAGATACCGATTGCTTTGAGCCGCGTGCAGTGCAGATACAGCACACATGATCTGAGTATCTATCGAAATTTTTTGTTCTGTTCGGTGTGTATCAGCAGTAGAGACAAGGCAGATATCGGAGTCTGTACAAGTAGATGACATCTATCTACTCTTATGACGACAACACTGCTGGGCTGGAAAAACAAACGCTGTGTTTCTCTTATCAACCTTAACTATCTGTTGTTTCGTGTATGCCGTGGATTCTGTGTGCCACGTTTACTTTGGGCATCGAAACTCGTCGTTTATTATATAGAGAGCACTCGCTAGTATTTCTCAGGCGAATATAGTGGCTGTTGCCTCTGGAACAGCCGCGGCCGGAAACGCCTTTGCGCGGGCGACGTCACTTAGCTCTAGTGTATATACATATATAAAGAATGTCGGTTGTTGGTTATTTTATCAACAACCTAACAGTTCACGCCAGCTCTCACCTCATGATGACTAGATTGTTGCCTGCAATAAGCGTCATCGTTACAGCTACCATCGCTTCTCATTCCTGTTAAACGTAGGCCCCGTGTTCAAACAGCCAGCATCTAACCTTCTGTCACGGCAGCCACCCGTAAACGTCGTAGTAAGGACCCGTAAAGGCTTAAACCTCTACGTAGCCCTGGCTACAGACAGGAGCGAAAACGGAAGGACGTCCTTTCGAACGAGCGAACAATCGGCGAGAAAAGGAACCTAGGAAAAGGGCGGGTGTGAAACGTTGAATACCACAAGCGAACAAAAAAAAGTTTTCAATTCCTTTCCCAGCTACCACTGCCGTCACCGCGGTCGCCGCACAGAGTTCACCCTCGCAGCAGCAGTAGCGACATGAGCGCCCGCCTTCGGCGTCATTCGTCTATGAGCGAGAAGAAGTGGGGAGCG